CATGGGATGTGGGATGAAGAATCCCATAGGATGAGGGATGAAGAATCCCATGGGATGTGGGATGGAGGGTCCCATGGGATGTGGGATGGAGGCAGCTGCACCTGCACAGGCAGAGGCAGGGAAGGGAAGGACAGTCTGCAGCATTTATTACATTTACAAAGCTGTATCGTTATACAAATGTTTAACCAAGGACAATATGTGGCTCTTGGGCTATTTTACAGGACATTAAACGCAGTACAGGATGCAAACACACAGAGCAGTTTGGTTTGTACCATCGAGGGCAAACAGAACAAAACAACCCCCCAAGCCCCACACAAACCCCAGACTGAGGCAGTTGCCCCCACAACTCCAGTCTGGCCTATTTACAAGGAGAAAAGGGGTGTCCAAGTCGAGACAAACAGAGCCCCCAACACACCTGGAGCCTCTGCCCCAGCCCCAGTGTGGGGAGGGGGATGAGAGACAGAAGTGACCCCGTGGGGACCCTTCCTGGGGCCACCCCCAGAGCTGTGCTATAGCCACTGCTGAGGCTGTGCTGGGGTGCAGCACTTCCCAAAAACCCAACTGAAACTTCCAAACCAGCATCACAACAACATCCCATCCTTCCTGACCTTTGGAGTTGGGCTGTTCATACAATTCCTGTGCCGCTTTCCTTTGGTTCTCACCATGCCATGGGGGCTGTTAGGTGCTGCAGGCACTTGCTTATGTTTTGTCCTTGGCCCCCTCCCCAGCAAGGACAGGAGAGGAACCCTCAGGGGTCTGTGCTTCCCAGGGCTCATGTGCTTTTTTTTTTTTTGTTTTTTTTAATCCATGTAGGAAGTTGGTCCCTTCCCAGAGCTGCTCTGCTCCCACCCAGACATGGCAGCACCTTCCCACGCTCACCCTCAGTGAAGCCTCTTGGCTAAAGGCACTGTAGTCTGATTTAGTTTATTTGCTTTTATTAAAACCCCAATGTGAGGGCAGGAGGAGAGGGTGGGAAGGACAGCAAGGGAGGGGACCAAACAGAAAACACTGGGGAATGTGGCATTGGGGGGTCCCACACACACACCCCTGGATTTGAAGCCCCCCAAGTCTGACACAGCATTGCCACAACCATTTAAATGCTCCCAATTCAAGTTTCCCATCAGTGCCTGGAGCTGTTGGCACTCCAGGGAGGAGAAAACACTCAGGGGGTTGTGCTCCAGCTCCCTGTGTTGGCCCTTCCCACCAAGCTGAAAGCATAACATTTTTAAGCTGGGGGAAAAAAAAACAACCACCCCAAAAAAAGAACTTACTGTGCAGAAGGGAAATGTCTGTGAAGGCTTTGCCTGATCAGAGCCTGAACCAACATCCAGAGGCCACAGGGAGAGCAAAGAAAGGCCCCAAAACACACATGGCAGAGCTGAGAGGAGGATGGAACCCCCAGAGCACTGATCCCAGCCAGCCACAGGCACCAACCTGGTGCCTGAAAACCCCCAAAGAAACATCAAAACACCAGAAAAACAAGCAAACCACAGCATGGAGGGGCAGTTTTTGGCTTCTGTGCTTGGCCCTTACCTGTGCTTGGCCCTTACCTGTGCAGCCAGGAGTTCCCACTCACGGCCCCATCTCACTCCGGGTGGGCACGAGTGGAGAGGGATGAGGAGGAGAGGGAAAAGTGTTAGAGCAAACCAAGCAGGGACTGTGGCAGCACTTGTGTGGCTCCCAGCTCTGGCATGCAGCTTCCATTAGTTAAAAACCAAACTTTAAACCCTCTCCCCACCCCCCCAAAAAAAACCCCACCCCAAACCCAAAAAAACCCCATTAAAAAATATTCCCCCACATTTCTGTGTCTTATTTGCATTTTTAAATTAATCTGCTCGCTCCATAGAAAATAAGTATGTATAATTCCTTTTTCGTTTGGTTTTTTTTTTTGTTGTTCTTCTCCCTATGTACACATATATATTTATAGAGGTCTATATATAATTTCTATATAGAAAACCCAGCCAGGAGTCCCTGTGGGCTGAGCTTTAGGTCAAGGCTGAGGCTGTGCTGCCGTTGACAGTCGTTTTGCGGCCCCGGTGGGTGGCAGTTCGAGGTGCCGTTGAGGGCAGGGCTGGCACCAGTGCCCGTGGTGGAGCTGGGGGAGCCGTGGGATGGGGTGCCCGGGCTGGGCAGGGAGGAGGAGGTGGCAGGCAGCGTGGCAGGGCTGTGAGCTTTGTCGCTGACCGATTCGCACTCGGAGGCGCCGCTGGTGTTGGTGCACTCGGACGTGGCTGCTTGGGATAGCTTGAGCCTCTTGCAGGCAGGTTGGACGCGGTACTTCAGCGGCAAAGGGCCGTTCTGCAGGGGGGAGAGGGGCACGGCGTGGAGCCTGGCAGCCTGTGGCACCCCACGGTACCCCACAGCACCCCACAGCATCCTTTGGTACCCCACGGCATCCTTCGGTACCCCATGGCATCCTTCAGTACCCCACAGCATCCTTCAGTACCCCACGGTGCCCTACAGCACCCCACGGCATCCTCTGGTACCCCACAGCATCCTTCAGTATCCCAGAACATCCCATGGTACCCCACAGCACCCCACAGTACCCTGCAGCACCCCACGGCATCCTTCGGTACCCCACGGCATCCTTCAGTATCCCACAGCATCCTTCAGTATCCCAGAACATCCCATGGTACCCCACAGCACCCCATGGCATCCTTTAGTATCCCACAGCATCCCGTAGTACCTCAGGGC